CGGCGGACGGCGCTACGCGCAACCGCGGCCAACGCGGCGTAGAACATTGCGGTGGCCGCGTTCCGCGGGTCGGCCGCCGACTCGACCCGCGGCACCGCGTCCATCGACCAATCGTAGCTGAGCACGTGTGGCCACACCAGTAGTCGTGCGTTCACCACGGGCAGGTGCAAGAACGTCAGGGTCCTGACCACCGGGTCCGGGTGCTTGGCCGCGGGATTGTCGGACGTCGCAAAGGTCGGCACCGTGCCCGACATCACGCACAGGCGGCCAGCCACCATGACCGCGGCGCTAGTCATCAGCACTTTGACCGTTTTCCAGCTACTGTCTTTGTCCACCTGCACCTGTAACCGATCGATCTGTTGGTATTGGTATGCAACGAAAAACGTATAAGATATTTGCGGTCATTTACTTAGCCTGATATTTACATTTACATTTATATTAACATTTTTTTATTTTCATTTTCATGAACCGATTCGAATGAATCATTGGACTGAAAATTTTAAAATAATTTATTAAAGTGGACCAAGACCGGATCACCGGTCCGAAATTTGTTATTTCGATCTGTAATAGTTTATGAACCGAACCGGACCAAAAATATAGTATGATTTCATAGAGCGGATAAACGTATTGAACTAAAAAAATGTTGGACCCTAAAATTGTTTAACTATACCACATAATTGGTAATTAGTATTGATTTGAGCTGCTCGTAGATAATTATAAAACTATACAAAACTGATGATATTTAGTATATAGAAGAGTTATATCATTTCTCCCGCACCTCGATGAAAATAATTTCAACTGTTGTTCTTGAAAATATTTTCGATAATAATTATTAATGTGTACCATGAACAGCTCTGCGATATACAGATACACAAAGTACATAAAACAACGACTCAGGGATAAAATATTTATAATTATATTCGTGTTATTAATCCTATAAATGATTTTAAATTTAAAATCATTGTTTAATAAATTTTAAACGAGTCATAATCGCTTAATCGGGACCGACTGGTCTGGACCGAACCGATCTGATTAAATTTTAGAAATCGGACCGAACTGAAATAATAATAGTTCAAGCCAGGACCGGACCGAAATCTTCCATAAATATATAGAGTAATCATATAATTATGTATAATATATGTGAACCAATCATTCGCCTATTATTATACGATAACACTGGACTGGGCAGAGCACTGGTACCTACACATAATATACATGTACAAAACTCGCGTTTCAGTGTTCAAACTATAAATTGTTAAGTTTCCATAATCTATTATTTATTTTTGTTTTTCTACGACGATCTTAATCACGCCAATCTAATTTGAATCGACACATAAGGTGGTGCTTTTGTAATATTATCTCCAGACCTAATCTAACCCAACTTAACCTTTGATAATAGCTTACCATTAACATGTAATATCCGTATACACATAATCTACAATACGATTTGGACCACAAGGACGTTCAACATTAATTCCTTACTTATTATTTTAGCAAACACGAAAAATATATTCGTGTCAATGATTGATTTCTTACCAAATATTTTTAGGTTTTTCAAATTTTTATAAACTACCATTTATTATATTATATGGTTATGGTATTCGGCGAAAAGTCGATAGAAAAAAATAGATAATAAATAAAATTTTTATTGGCTATTTTTGTGCCGGGGTATTTATATTCAGATCTGCTATACATTTTACATTTACCTAAGTTTATAATTACATATTTTATTATAATAATATGGCATAGTACAGCAATAGTTGTCAACAGTTATTGTAATAATATGCATTTCATTCACGTTTAAGTTAAGAACCCTCACTTAATTATTTTTCATAATTTGATTGATACATATGTACATAATATGCTATATAGTGTATAGTATGCACTTATAGTTTATTTTTGGCTGTATTAAAATTATTATTAAACGAAAAATATTAAAAACACACGTCTGACTACACTTAAACACGTATTTTGTATATGTATAATGTGTCTATAGTCGTTATTTTTGACATTAAGCACATTGTGACAGTTTCGTATTTACCATTTACATTTTTTATCAAGTGCCATCGATCGACACTTAAACTTAATATTATATTCATTTTGAGTAAGCCATAACGTATATTGTAAACGTATACTGGATAGCGTGTATATTGGCTGTACTCTTACAACTATAACTTGAATTTTTGCCCGTACAAAAACAAATAATATCAAAACAATATAAGACATTGTAATACATCTATAAAGCTTTAAATGAATTGGTAAACAGTTATATTAAACACTATGGAGAGAAGACATGCGTAATATATTTAATGTACAGACAAACGATAGTTTTCGTTTGATAATTATGTCATTGAACCGTCAATGCTTTGAAAATTTATTGAAAAAAATTGAGAAATTATGCGTTACTATAAACTTCAATTGTACGTTAGTATTATATTCCTTACTGAAATTTAAATATGAAAAACTATAAAAATTGCAAGCCTATTAATATTTATAAGTGTAATCATTTTATAAACTATGAATAGGTATGTATATAATTATAAATGTCATAAGATATTAAATACTACTAAGATTTAGCAATAGTAAAATAAATAAATATATATATATATATATATATATATATATATAATAATAAAAATGGTATCTATATTATTATGTATTATTTGATATTTTTATAAATTATTCGATAAGTGTTGGTTTTTGTTTGTTTGTAAAAGCCTGTTTTAATATTTTTAAATTTTAATGGAGATTATTTTTACTCGAATCAATCAAAATTTACTGCCTAAAAGTTTTTAAAAAAATAAAATATATAATTATAAAAATAATATAACTGGTTACTGACTACTATAATTCCAATGAATTTTTCATCGTATTTAGAAGCTAAAATAAAAAATATCAATAAATATTATATTTAACTGGTTCCTTTTCTAGTCAAGATGTAATTTACGATGATTAATATATATATATGAATTACAAACATAAGATATATTTTCTCAATGTCCATTCAAGGTAAAACGCATAGATCATACACTCACCATATATCTTGTATATTAAAGTACATAAGATACTGTAACCATCGAGAAGAGAATTAGAGAGAGAGAGAGAGAGAGAAAGAGAGATTTCTTATAATACTGTCCAAATAATCGTCGTTGAGTGTATTTCTCGCTATTACGTCCATTAGGGACCGTCGACTTTTACAGAACAGCGATGACTAATGGTGTGCCTTTTACCCGAGCTTGAAACACCACGCAATCGTCTTTATGACGTATCGCGGTAATGCGTTTTACCGGATTGCCCTCATCAAAGCGGAAGAGTAGCTAGCACATGCTTACTCTCTTCTACTTTACACATACACATACAGTCAGATAGACACACATACACACACAAACATACGCGCGCGCGCAAAAACTCAGTCATAAAAACGTTTAGAAAAGTTTTTCGATAAATGATTAGGCGATAGTACTTATTTAATATAATGTAAATTATAAAACCAATAATGAATAAATTCATTAGAAAGATCAAAGAAACATATATAATAAAATCTAATATCGCATGGGTAATCAATGACTATCAAGAATAAAAGCCTCACGAATGGAATCGAGTAATGCAAATTACGTTTATGTATCACTTTCAATAGATTTACTTAACTAAATCGATGTAGAAAAAAAATTTAAAATTTAAAATTTAGAATATGAGATCAATTAAGATAAAGTATATTACTGAGTCGTACTGATGAGTTATTGTTTGTTTTATATACGTTATCCTTATGAATATTTTTTAGGTTTGATCTATTAGAAATCATAAAGAAAAAAATATATTTACAAATAAAATCTGGAAATAATTTAAGCTATATGATTACTAAAAAAAAAAAAAAAAAAATACTGCCGTAAAGAAACGAAATTAATTAAGTATAGAGTATATATATTCAATATTCGTATAATGTTATATAAACACTATTAAAAAATACAGGTGTTTGAAGTCATGATTTGTATGTGAAAATAATTCCACATCGTTGACATGATATATAATACTATTACACTGATACTGTGCTAATAAATCAAAGAAAGATGAAATGCAGGCAGTAAAAAAGACACGAGTCATTATTTTGTTAATTAAAACCGATTGAAGCGTATAATGGGTAAGCAACACATTTTATTTTCATTTGTATTCTACTTCATACAAAAACACATTGTAAAATAAAAGGGCATTTAAAACACACGAAATTGTAAACATATTACTTCTAAACGGAACAACACGTGAAAAATAAAAGTCCAATACGCCACCAAACTATTAAGCGTTGAACTGGATACCTTATTCGTTCATAAACATATTCATTAGTTTTTGTAACGGGGATGCGATTTTCAAACACGGCGTTATGAATAGGTAAAAATAGCGCACAACTGTAACGAAGGACGGATACAGTAATGCATTAATATTTGTAAACAAATTCCAACGTACATTCTTCAAGAATCATCAGTAATCGCTTAAAACACGATGTTCATTTACTAGAGTCACGTTTAAATAAGTAAAAAAAAAAAAAAAATTAAAACCTAAAACGCGTCCTGTATCCGAATGTATCCTCATAACCTTAATATTTTTTTTATTAAAATTATATATGTTTACATAAAAACGTACTAATTCTTATATTGTCATTGTACACTGCGGATTATTTTTTGACCAATTATTTACACTTAATCTGATTAATTCGGCGCACGTTTTTTTTGTGTTTCAATCAAAACACCTGGTATACTCGGTTACGGGACATTGAACTAAACGCGAATAGGTAGAAACGTGGCCGACTAACCGCTCATGAAACACTCCACTTTTTCGCCGGGAGGTGGTTGTAATTTTGTGTGCACGTCGATTTTCACGCTCGCGATCTACGAGATTATTATTCGCACGCGGTTACGCTTACGAATGAATATAAAATTTTGGGTAGTTTTTCACTTTACGCTGTCCTAAGCGAACTTGCCTAAACTTAACCTACGAACTTCGCAATAACATAATTTCTAGAACTTAACTTTTTTGCTATTGTCTCTGGATGTTGTCTTTGTGTTGATAGGATTATGCTTGAGTAGGGAGTTTACCATAATATGGTAAAGTTTACTATAGTATGTAAACATATATTATATGTATTTTTTCTTGCCTGGAAAATTTGATTTTTTTAGTCTATAATTTGATTGTTTATCGTTGAGGTAGCACGTATAATAATATCAGTCTTAGTTCGATTTGTTTGCAATCTCTATTAGCAAAATGTACACCCAAGACAAGTATTTTTCCAACGTACGTTCGAACCCGTCGATTTTCTTATGGTGGACAATTATAAAAAGGGTCATGTCTT